AAGGGGTACACTTGCGACGGTTGACTGCATGACCCCATAAAACGTAACCCCCCACATGTGTTGCTAGGCTAGATTAGGAAGTGTGAGGCTGGGTCCGATTCCCAGACGGATTTGGTGTACTGGTGTACCCTCATCCCGCCAATGATATCTCGCTAATTAAACCCTAGTAAGTCGTGGCTAAACTGAACGGTTGAAATACTGTAGTGGTGACTGCAGGCTAGAATTGTCAAAGCAACTAGCAAGGTCTGCTACTCTTGACATAGCAACTATTCACCTCCAATGTCTATACTTAGAGGCTTAGGCCTGAGATGAGTATTTAGGATCATCATCCATGACTGTCAAAACGTACCTCGGTAAATTGCCGGGACTTCAAATGGTGGCACGGTGGATCCTGAGTTGATGGCGGGTAAAAAAATAAAAAAAAAAAAAAAAAAAAAAAAAAAATAAATAATTGGTTAAATACCTACTATACTATAGATAGAATTGAAGAACTGCTTAAGGACTTAAATTAACGGTGAATTATGTCATTACTATAGTGTGCGGAACAGAAAACTACTCCTTTATAAGTATCGAATATAAGTTAATAAATTATTTATCAGTAGGACATGATAATAAAAAGCTTTTTCTATAATAATAGAGATTTGATTTTACATTAATAAAGATACCCTAAAATTGATTCTTCTGAGAGATCGTTTCGGGTTTTCTGTAAAAACATGCTATCCATTATTTCTTCTAGGTGGGTACCTTTGTCCAATCATTCATTACGATCACATGATATTAGATTTGCGTGATGGAGGATACTTCCAGGAACCTTTTATCGATACTCTAATAATGCATAGGCAAAACCTTAATAAATATCTGAACAGTGTCGAAAGAGACTGCTAGCCAGGAAAAGGCAGAAAAATTATAAAAAAAAACAAAAAATAAATAATATAGTAAGGGAAATTGGAGAGCACGTGGAAATAATAGAAGCAACCGTAAATAAGAATAGTGTTATATCCATTAAAAAACATATAAATTACGTGAAAGAATTGGATAAGCCTATCATAAATGAGACTAGCATTGAATCTGTTGAACATCTAGATTACATAACAGAGCCAGATCCTTCTATTGTGATTAAAAGTAGTATTGAATCTATAGGTTACATGCCAAAATTAGATAAGCATAATGTTGAATATATAGGTTATGCACCAGCATCAAATAAACCTATCGTAATTAAGAGCAGTATTGAATCTATAGATAGCGTGCCAGAATTGAATGAGCCAGAATTGAATGAGTCAAAATCAAATAAGTTAGAATCAAATGAGCCAGAATCAAATGAACTTATCATTTCAAATGAGACCATTTCCAATACTATAGAATCAGAAGCTAGAAAAGCTAAGACTCAAGTTAATCGAAAACGAAGACTAGAATGTCATGAACTGGGGAGAATGGATCAGGTATGTATCCATTGTAGCACCAAATTTTGGATAGGCGAAAAGGATCACAATAGCAGTCGTGGATCTCCAACATTTGCAATTTGCTGTGCTCATGGTAAAATTCATTTACAACCTTTATCTAAACCACCATTATATTTGTTGGATCTGTACATATTAACTAAACCTGATGCTGATTCATTTCACAAAAACATTAGAGGCTATAATAATATCTTGGCGTGCATGTCATTTGGAGCTAATATAAATGAATTTCAAGGATGAGGAGTATCTAATTTCCAGATTCATGGTCAAGTCTATCACCGCATTGGATCATTACTGCCAGCAGGTCACACACCTGTATTTGCTCAACTATATGTCTATGATATTGTACATGAAGGTGAAAATCGGCATAATATTATGCAGGAATTAAATAAAGATATTATAAAGAATCTGCAGGATATGTTAGATGAATGCAATCCATATATCCAAAATTTTCATCAAATAAGGGACCTCATTTAGGAAAACACGACCACCGAAATTTCAATATTAATTCATAGTGATCGAACACAAGATCCTGGTCGATATGGTCCTCCCACAGCCTCTGAAGTAGCTATAATTATGATTGATGATGGTCATGAGATGAAACCATCCAGTCGAGACATTCTTCTTAGGTTGTGCAGTGGAGGTCTACAAAAAATATTAGAATTTTGTTCATCATATGATTCACTTCATTATGTATTACTATTTCCAAGAGGTGATGATGGTTGGCATTTTGACATACCTCTCATAGGTGCTAAGAAAAGAGATAAAGTAACAGCAATGCAATATTACTGTTACAGGTTGCAAATTAGAAATGGAGATTGGATACAGAGCGCAGGCCGTTTATATCAACAGTATATTGTTGATCAATATGCTAAAATAGAGCAAAATCATTTAAATTACATTAGATATAATCAGGCATCACTTTGAACTGAATTATACCAAGGTATTACAAATGCAATACATACTGAAGATGGCAACAACAACATTGGTCGTCACATAATCCTTCCATTATCATTTACTGGTGGGCCATGTCAAATGTATCAGTTATACCAAGATGTGATGGCCATCGTAAGTCACTTTGGAAAACCTGATCTTTTTGTAACTTTCTTATGTAATCCAAAGTGGCCAGAAGTTACCAGGGAATTATTACCTTATCAGAACGCTATTGATAGACCCGATTTAACAGTCCGTGTGTTTCATATAAAACTACAGAAATTATTAAAAGATCTATGTCATAATTATTGGCTTGATAAAGTTATTGCATATGTATATATAATAGAATTTCAAAAACGTGGTTTACCTTATGCGCATATCTTATTAATACTGGCATCAGAAGACAAGTTAAGATCCACAGATGATTATGATTCTATCGTTTTCGCTGAAATTCCAGATCCGGAGATGCATCCTCTTGCTTATGAAACAGTAACAACCATGATGATGCATGGTCCATGTG